TATTTTTTATCCATTAAAGTAGACTTTATTTTTAATTTTTTTGCATAAAATAATTGATTAAAAATATGTTGCTGTATTTTAAATAGTATATAAATGTATTGTATGTACAAATATTTGTTGTATTGATTCAGTTAACAAAAGAGAATTACTAAATATATTAAAAAAGAGTAAAATTGAAAGGGGATTGGAAGACAATAGGGAGACAAAAAAATTTTGGATAGTGAAAGAATTAAGACAAGTGTATAAGTTAAGTGCATAACTAAATGTAGAGAAGTTTTCCAGGGTGAAAAGCCGTGATCAATTGAAATTAATTCGAATGGACCCGGAAAACATCGCTACATTTACTTTGATCAGCCCTGAGAGTCTACGTAGTCTGATTAAGTGCACAATTATTCAATATATCTATAAGTGATTTGGAGAGGGTTAATGAGTATGGCAAGGGAGGAAGGAACCGTGGTGGGAAGAAAAAATATTTGGACAATTGGCGATACGGACAATATTGCTATAATGTCAACAAATTATAGAGCGATAAAGGAGATGATGACAGTATTAGAAAAATACTTAAAAAGTAAAGGATTAGAACTGAGTGGCGATAAGATGAAGATTAGGGAAATAGATGAGGTTACGAGATGGAAAGGAAGATAGAAGACGAATATAGTGTGGAAAGGAAAGGTAGCGAATGCAAGTGCATTATTAGGAAAGAAATAGGGAATAGGACAAAGGTTATATTAGGATGATTGGTATAGGAGAAAAAAAATATTTGATACGATAGTAAAAAATGGTATTTTATGGAGTTTAAATTCGGGGACAAAGGAAATATATACAAAAGATGTACAAGATATTTAAATTAGACAGAAATACACTAGATTATATTATTAAGAGGTCCATAAAATGTGGGAATTTGGTTGAAGAGGAAGGAGAATGGTAATTAAGTAGGCACGAGAAAAAGTTGAAAAACTAAAAGAAAGATATATAAGAAGGGAAATTTGGAAGATGAGAATAGAAATAGATACAAACAATAGGTACTCGAAGGAAAGAGACGAAGAATTAAGGGAATTGAAAGTAGGTCAACAGTAGTTAAATGAATGGAGAAAGATGGGTATGCGTATAGGTAGGATGGTGAGAGTTAGATGTAGTGAAATGATAAGAGAAGAGGATCTGAAAAAGGTTGATAAATCAAGCATAATGTCTTCGATGTGGGAGCATTGACAGGGTATTGTAAAGGAATAAAAGAGATGGATGTGATAGAAAGGTTCAGAATGGGAAATAAATGTGGAGAATGTAAGTATTAGCTAGAGAAGGATGAATGGTTATGTAGAATATGTGCATTGGGAAAAGAATATAAATAAGGTTTGGGATGAATGTGGTCATATATGATATGAGAAGTTTGATCAATTTGGAAAGTTTATGCAAAAAAGAAAAGAGAAGAATATTGGGAAGTGATGGGTATATGACAGTAATGTTTAGGAAAAGAGACATTTTTAAGTTTTTTATGTTCTAATTAAACTAAACCTAAATTATTCGTTTTCTTTTTGTTATTGCCCGCTGCAATCCCTACCTGACATCTCTTTTCTATGTTTATGATATTCCATATAACATCTGTGGTGAGTAAAAGTAGTGGTTCTGTTAACTCTCTAGTGTAGTTAGTAAGTTAAAAGAAGAAAGTAAATGTGACAGTTTTATTGCGGATTAAACCAATTTCGAACGTTCGAACTATAGTTAACAAAATGTCATTCAATCAGTAAATTAACAATGGTCAATTAAAAACGGGGATTAGTCTAGCGCAGAGCCGGGCAAACTCCGCTCTTTTGACTCCCGAGTGCTCCTCAGGTATAGCCAAGGAGCTCCTCATTGTTCCTGCGAGTGCGAATGAGATGATTCTTTCCTTTTCTTATCCCTTCCATTTCGTAGGTGAGTCCTCTCTCCCTTAGCCGAGCCCAATAGTATTGCGAACGTAGTCCAGCATTCTACCCCTGAGCTGCGAGATGAACATTAGAAAATTTTCGTAGGTATTATTTAAGTTGCGAGAGAGGCTTCGCTCGTCTACGGGATGAAGGGATTAGATATGGGAGTGGAAGGGAGAAAAAAAAGAGAAAGGAATACGGGTCATTACTGCTTACTCTCTCGTACCTATTGAGGGGTATAGAGTGACCCAAACTACCCTCAGGTAGCGTCTCCTACGAAGTTAACGTTTGCCCGGCTCTGGTCTAGCGAATAGGTCAAATTGAACGCGGACCCGAGCTGCTATAAACAATAAGGGGAATACGCTCCCTATTGATTTGGTGATTATAAATTATAAGATATTTTAATGCATAATAGTGACATATGGACATATTATTTTACCTACTAGAATTTATTTTATGCTCCAAGTAATGAACAAATTGAAAAGCTGATCTGAACTTCTATTGCATTTGCAATTGAATTCTTGTAGATCTGTAGGCAGATTTAACCTTTCAATGCAAAACAACGATGACTAGATAAACATATGCCTTAACACTGAACTATATCGTATATCCTGTGTAGTAGGGATTACCTGTGTAGAGCATTTAATATAAATAGACACTAGCTCAGTTTTAAATCATAACGACATAAATAATCTGTACAATACAGTGATTTAGTAATCTAAACAACCAATATGTTGTGGGTAAGTTAAGATACATATTTATTTCATCTATAAGACCTTATTATTGCGAATACACGCGCCATTGTTGTTTTATATTATTTAAATAAATCATGGATACTATGGGAAACTAATGACGAAACGTTAGAATCGGCCAAAATTAACGTGGTAGAGTTTTGTGCTTAATTAAACAATAGTTTGTGTGAGTAAAAGGTAATCCTAATCACTGCATCAGGGGTTACGAATGAGTCTAAATTAAATAGAGTGATCTGTGCACATATTAAAATACAATCATCGAGATAACAATGATAAGGTGTGCATTAAAGTGAGTATAGCTCGAGCAACGAGTCGGTAGCCGCGAGATGGGCACATGTGAGAGAGAGAAAGCGAAGGCGAATAGAGAATGACCGATATGCTTTTCGGAACCTTCTTGGACTATGTACAGTAAGAGAAACAACTAAACTTGATTTCTATGCCGCCTGCGACATACTGATACCACTCAGACTGTACACGATGATCACTACTCAACAACTTTAAACAGAATGATATCTAGTTACGAGATCTGTTAGAAAAGTATCGCGAATTTTGAATTTCGATTTTTGTGGCGTTATGTTGGTAGGTTCTCATGCCTCTCACTTATCCCGACAAGTTCGGCCATGTTGAATGTTCAGTTAATTTTTGACAGCTGCCTTTCTTGCACGTGTTTTGGCTCGCCTTCGATTTTTGCCTATTTTAAAAAATGGATGAAACAATTTGTATCAAATTATGTTTGAAAAACAAGATTAAGTGTGCGAACGCATTCCGATTGTTGACTGTGGCATATAGTGAAGCTACCTTGGACTGAAGCAACTTTATCGGTGGTACAAAATGTTCTCAGAGGGTCAAGAAGCGATGTGAACGACGAAGAGCGTGCCGGTCGCCCGAGCACGTCAACAGACGAAAACATTGAAGTGAAGAAAATGGTATTTTTCAATCGTCGAATCACCATTAGAGAAGTTGCTGAGGACCTAAATAAATCGATTGGCTTCTATCATTCGATTTCTACCAATGATTCGGGTATGAGACGGGTCGCCGCGAAATTCGCACCAAAATTGTTCAATTTCTACCAAAAACAGCATCACATTAACATTCCTAAAGAGCTGTTGGACTGTGTTCGCGATGACCCAAATCTGCCCCCAGAGGGTTATAACTGGTGAAGAATCATGGGTTTATGGTTATGACGTGGAAACCAAAGCACAATCATACCGATGGAAGCTGCCACACCAGCGAAGACCGCAAAAAGCGCGTCAAATTAGGTCGAATCTGAAGGTTTTGCTTACAGTTTTCTTCGATTGCAGAGGCGTGCTGCATCATGAGTTCTTGCCACATGGTAGAACGGCCAATAAGAAATATTGCCTGCAAATTATGCTCAATTTGCACGAAGCAATCCACCAGAAATGCCCGGATTTGTGGAAGAACAAAAATTGGCTTTTGCACCATGCTCACACATCGTTGCTTGTGCGCAAATCTTTGGCCAAAAACAACTTACTAATAATGCCACAGCCACCGTATTCCCCATATCTAGTCCCCTGTGACTGAAGAGGCCCATGAAAGGATGACGCTACGCTACGATTGAGGAGATAAAGACGGCATCAAATGAGCAGGTGAACAAGTGCTTCGAGGATTGGAAAAATAAGTTGGCACATGTGTATAGTATTTGGTGGGGATAACTTCGAAGGGGATAAAATAGATATCCATGAATAAATAAATAAATAATTTTGGAAACAACACAAAATTCGCGATATTTTATTTTTAACGGATGATGTTTTGGTGTAACTATAGTAGTAAAGAAAAATAATATGATGAGGAAAAGTAAATGAAATATAGACAGCCTGCATTTCGGAGAATTGCATCATCTGTATCCGCAGTTACGGGTGGATGAAAATGCTTTTCGTCAATATACCAAAATGACTTCAGATTTGATTATTTGTATAATGGAATCAATACGAGGTTCTTGTTATCATTATTTAACTAATTTTCAAAATTCGATCCTTATAGCGGAAATTACACTTATTCTCCGAAACATTTCTTTTCCGTATTTGTGAAATAAGCGTTTCCATTGTATGCAGTCGACGACAATTGCAGGCAGAAACAAACAGTTTGATTTTAAGGATGTTTGGGAGGTACAATCGGAGACAAGAGTACATAAAATTAGAAGTAGTAAATAAATACTATCTATACTAAAAAAGAATAATATGAAGAGGAAAAGTAAATGAAATTTATAGACAGCCTGGATTTCGGAGAATCTCATCATCTGTATTGACCTAGATTAGATTACTGTTCGCAAATAGTTAAGGATGTGGGCTGTTCTAGTTTTAGGAAAATGCGAAGTTTAGCTCAAGATAGGAAAGAGTGGAGGTGCGTGTCCAACCAGTCTTAGGACTGACGACCTTATGATGATGATGATACTAAAAAAAAAGTATACGGTTTGAGAGAAAATTTGGAATTTGACCAAAAATTTTGAATAAAATAAGAAATAACGAATAATATGGACAATTTTTAACTGACTTTTGGCAGTGAATATGCCTTGATTTCAACTTCGAAACAAAAAAATATTTAGTTTCAATCTTTATTAATAATGAGCGTAAAACTTTTTAATATGTTTAAATAATAATTAAAACTTTAAAATTGCATTTATTTCAGACAATTATAAATATTATCATTATATTATCAAGTAAAAACGAGATTTTCAGCTAATTTTTCATTTTTTCCTCGATAACCATTTAGTGAATTTGAATAACCTTACGCTAAAGTGATTCTCCAGAGTTCAAGTTACTTATTATAAAAGTTTGAAATTTCTGGTAGCTTTTTTTCTGTTAATAAAAATAAATTTAATCTGTTCGGTTAACGAATCTCCATAAAATGACGTGTAAAATTACAATTTTTTAAAATTTCAATAACTTTTTAACGGTTTAGTGAATCGATTTGTAATTTTTACAGGAGTTTTAGAATTGAATGAGGAACATTCTTCCAAAATTTTATTTGTCTCGTAGCATTTTGACATACCTCCCAAACATCCTTAAAAGCATTGCGTGGGATGCGATATCGCAAAATAGCAACACTCTCACAAATTTCGCCTCCAATTCCGACAACGATTAGTTATTTTAAAGATTCGTACATTACAGTGATCGCATCGGACACAACGAATTGCCCGCACCGCAGATCTCGCGTTTACCTACAACATGGTGTAGGAATGTGCTGTAATTGAAAATAGATGCATAGGAAATAGGTCCTTTAACTTCGGTGATTAAATCTTCCTGGATTTCCATTTCTATGTGGCTTTGAATCATTTACTAGACCTAATACTATAACTACATAGTTGAATGACTACCATTATTTTTGATAAAAAATCCTTCATTCTTTTAAAATTCAAATAAATAAATATTAAAGCACAGTAAAATACTGTAAAATATGCGTAATAGGTTAGTTTTTTATCAATAATTCTTATTTTAAGCATATATTACATGACATTAAAACAGAAATTACCACTTATTCAATAATTTATTTGCAGTTTATGCTTCCTTGCCTTCTGACTTCTGTGTTTGGGGCACAACTGAACAATGCATTTTATAATCCAAACGTTTTAACATATTCCGGCGCACCCAGCGTCCATAACATCGAACAACCTCTTCTTCATAATCAAATACCAATATTACGCTACAGTAGCGATAGTACGGAAGATGGTAATTACAAATTTGCTTACGAAACGGGAAATGGAATCGCTGTTCAAGAAAATGGACATTTTTCTCCCTCGATTCCAGAAGGTGGAGCTGTCGTAACGGGTGGAGGTTTCTCATTCACTGGGCCTGACGGACATTCTTACAGTATTGCTTACACTGCTGACGAAAATGGTTTTAGACCGGTAGGAGCGCATATACCAACACCACCTCCAATTCCTGAAGCTATAGCTAAATCTTTGGCGGAAAATGCTAGAGGAGGATATGACGGCGACGATGGTCAATATCGTCCTAATGTTGTATCTGCTTACAGACACTAGGATTTATGCCTGACTTATTTGATTGTGATTTGATAATAATTTTGCTATGTGATAACAAAGATTGTACGTTTTATATGTATTTACGATATATTGGAATAAAGTTGAACATGCGTTTATAGCATGCATAAAAAGGACTATGTTTTAATTAGAAATCCCATTTTAGAAAATACTACAAATGGCACCGTAAACGCCATCTGTAGCACGATGCTACATTTTAGGAGCAAGTAGATATCCACACAAGTTGACCTTGTTGGAGCATACGTAATTCCTAAAATGTATCATCGTGCTACAGATGGCGTTCACGGCGCCATTTGTGGTGTTTTCTAAAACGCACTGTCTAGACAGCAGGTAAAAGTTGGTCTGTGTTCTGTCGGAGCTGTCTGCGACGCGCTGATGAGATCCAAACAAATCGAAATCGCGATCCGCGTCTGGCAGTTTCGACAGAATACAGACCACTTCGAATTATTTTATTAGATATCCCATATCAATCGAATATCTACGTTTTATTTTAATGTGAAAATTTATTTTCAATTTTTCATCCGCTACAAACTAACTCAGGTTAATAAGGGAAAATTTTTGTTGCTGTTGTCACACCCCCGCCGGGAATCAAACCCGGGAGTAGTTGAAGTGGATGGAAAATTGAAAATGAATTTTCACATTAATATTTCATATTTGTAACCTTATAGGCACGATTTGTCGTGGTTGTTGCTGTCATCTCTTGTAGCTTAGTGATCAGAGCATTGGTGTATAAAGGTTCGATTCCCGGCGGAGGTGTGATAACAGCAACAAAAATTTCCCTTCATTATCCTGAGGTAGTTTGTAATGGATGAAAAATTTAAAATTAATTTTCGCATTAATATTTCATATTAGTCACTATTAAAAATTAAAAATGTCATATCTACATTTTTTTGAAATAATCTGGAGCATAATCTATCCTATGTAATGTAAAAAAGTAATTTCTTTAGAAGATTATGAAAGCAACTTAACATTTACGAGCACTTTATAGCCTGCAATTTTCATTACAATGATTCCCAATACTATTATATATACAGTAAAAGTTCCTTATTCACGGTTTCCTAATTCGCGTTTTCATTATTCGCGGGTGAAAAAAATTGCAACCCAGTTCCTGTATTCGCGGCTAAAAATTTCATTATTCGCAGGTGCAATCGGTAAACAGAAAAGAATTCGGTGTCATTTATTATGGAGATTGACCGCAATAGACCGCTCGTACCTAGTGTGAATTTTTTCGAAAACATGGGTTTCTATTCTAAACATTGTGATTTAACGCTACGAGATAAATATCCGATTTTTTGTATGGTAACAGACAAAGATTCACACTAACTCGATGCGTTTTTTGGTTTTCAATAATATGGTCATTAAAAGCTTTTACAAGTGCTTAAAGTTGATGCTTCTTGTAGGACACGTATTTTCAATAGAAATTAATAAATTAAAAAATGGCCTTAGACAAGCTTTAGAATCAAGCTTTATCCATCTTACTAGAAAATTTCAAACCTCTGTTCCAAACATTGAACTCATGATATCTAGAACCGATAAGCATCTTTTGAGTATGTATAAGCATCACATGTACTACTGAATCCCCTTGATGTATCGGCATCTTTCTCAATCAATTAATTTTATTCTGATACATATTGGTTTTATTTTGGAACCTTAGAACGTATCCCCTATGATTCCATACTAATTGCCAATCCACATCCACGGTTTCTATATTAGCAGCATATTCATTGAACGTATACCCCGCGGATAAAGAGCTTTTACTATACAGCAAAATGGTAAGAAAATAATAAGAAATAACAGATTCATAAGACAACACTATCACCCGTTTTGTAGCAAAAACGAACCACTTCTAATACAAGGCATGGTACAAATAGTTCAGGGTCTCACGGCTGACAGCCATTTTTAACGAATTAATTTCTGGAAATAATGACCGTGACCAGTGGTGGTTCGTGTAGAGGGTACATAATTTCAAGATTAGTAGGTGTGATAAATAAACATGTTTTGTATTTCTGAATTACCCTTGTATATCTACGTACAATGAATAATCCAAAACATATTGAACGTTATTTATTTCTAGCACCATTAGATCGAATGCATTTTTCAAATGTCTAGGAAACGTTCATGTGTGCTTGTCTTATAACTATGATGAATTAAATTTCTTATTCCGTTTGTTTGGCCAAGACTGATCATATTATTAAGTAGATCAACCGTAAAAACGCATTTTTCAGTAAAATATCGTCAGCACAGAATTCGGCACTATGCTGGTGACGGTCGTTAGCGAGCTCAAAAACCTTCCTCAGTTGTTAGATACTCTTGTCTCAATGTAATTAAACTGCTGAATTGATCAATGATACGTCTTTGCTCTTTGGTCATCGCGGGGACCGATCAGGACGCATTGGTTGATGTCGGTTCGACCGAATCGTAATGCCACATAACAGTGTAAATACGAGATATTTTGATTTGATCAGCAATCTGAAAGTAGTAACGTAGACAGATAATAAGCAAGAGTCGCAGTCGACTAGAAAAGGATGTCGGTCAAACTTAGGAGAAATATCGAAATGTACAAGGGGTTGATCATTGGGAACACACTGCTTACTCCAAGTTTATGTGTTTTTATTGTGTTTATTTAGTCGTCCACTACACTGATTCCGAAAATTACAGCCAGACCAGTCGGCGTGCATCGAGTTCTTATCTCGAAAGAGAATTGAACTTAAATGATTTACTTTAACATAGAATAACCATAGTTCAGTGCGCATCTGTAGGCATTGCAATTTTTGGGGTCACATCTAATTGGTTCAGCAGTATATCTACCTGCCTCGACCCTCACCTGAATATTGCAAGAATGGTGTTAATAACAATGAAGCGGTGAATAGTGAATACTTTACTACTAAATAAAAAGTTATTGTAACAGTTATTTCACACGAGCATGTTCTGGTTGCGGAATTGTTGAAAAGAAAAATGTAAATATTCATCTTGAAAAATGAACTTTATCTCAGTTGCTGTAAAGTACAGAACCTATCATTCACGAATTTATTAAGAACACTAAAATCGACTTGCTTTAAAGTGTTTATTAAAAACTTACATGAATGCTTATCATCTAATGATATAATAAAAATAAATCTTACTATTGAATATGAGCGGTTAATAGTAGATAATATTGAAATTCTTCATACAATAAATAATAATTGTAAATCATATCTCTTGAAATACCAATGATTAACAAATTCAAAAATTGTAATAAATGAATTATCGAATAGTTAATTGTAAGTAATTCATCTCTGCTAATAATTCCCTATCCCCACTACTTCTAATAGCAAATCATTTGTTGAAAGATTTTAGGTTTCTTGTGGAACTTTTTATAAATAGATAGTGTCGGTAAAACAATATATTTTATGGAAATTAGATCAATTTCTTTTATTAACAAGCCCAACACTATATTCGAATACCATGAAGTTTTAACCTTATATTTTTAATCACCTTTGTATTACAGCTAGGTAATTATATTTTATTTTATAAGAAGTAGAGGAACGCGGGAGGTTAAATGGGACAAGATGTTAAATATACTTAAAAATGTAGGGATAAGTTACAAAGATAGAAGAGTGACACTTAGTTTGTATAAAGAGCAACAGGCAGTTATAGAGGTAGGGATGCAATGTAGAGAAGTAAATATTAGGAAGGAAGTCAGGCAGGGATGCACACTATCACCGTTACTTCTTAATATAGGAATAGATATACAGGGGCAAAAGATTAGTATGCTTAGATTTGCAGTTAGCATCTAGCAAGGAGGAGTTAGAGATAACTTTAAATAAAATGGAAGCAATACTGACAGATCAGTACTGTATGAAAATAAATACTGATATGCAAGGGAAGAAAAAGTACGGAAAGAGCCAATATAAAGATAGGAGACAAAAAATTAGAAGAAGTGGCTGATTTTAGGTATCTAGGAAGTCAGATAAGTCAGGACGGAAGGAGTAGTAGGGATATAAAGGAGAAGATAGCGCAGGGTCGAGTCGCCTTCAATAAAAAGAAGTCACTTCTATGCTCGCGAACGGTTAATTTAGAAATTCGAAAAAGGTTATTAAAGGTGTATGTCTGGACCGCGACGCTGTACGGGTGCGAAACATGGACGGTGGGCGCGGCGGAGAAGAAAAGGTTGGAGGCATTCGAAATGTGGTGTTAGAGACGAATGATGAGGATACTGTGGAAAGAAAAGGTTAGAAATGAAGAGGTATTAGAAAGAGAAGGAGAACAGGGGACTCTATGAAAGTCAATAAGAAATAGGCGTAGTAGAGGACACCTTTTCAGGCATGAAGGTCTAGTTAGAGACATATTAAAAGCAGAAACAGGAGTTAAAAGGAGTAGAGGTAGACCTAGATTAGATGACTGTTCGCAAATAGTTAAGGATATGGGTTGCTCTAGCTTTAGAGAAATGCGAGGATTGGCGCAGCATAGGAAAAAGTGGAGCTGCGTGTCCAATCAGTCTTAGGACTGACGACTTTATGATGATGATGATATATGTATTGGCAAGAAACAAAGTGGGGTTGTAAATATTTTGATATAAAATTGTTGATGTTGATTTTACATTAATAAAACTATTTGCAACCTTATTTTGGGTCTGATCTTTCACGATAAACAAACTATTTTGGCATCAGTGTCTTTTTTCCAATTAAAACGGGTGACAAAGGCAAATAAGAAAGCATATAGAAGAATTATTTGTTGCTAAACTATTATGTGAGTTTGTTTGTTGTACGTGATTAGTTTCATCAATGGAAATACCTGAAAAAAGACATTTGATTGCTAATACGGCGTACTAGCTTGCGTATAATCTTTCGGTATTAAATTTGATCCAAAAAAATATATGAAATTCTGGACCAAAACTAGTCTGAAGTTGCTTTCGGGTACGGTAGGTTAAATTAAAACAGCAAATATCTTTGCCTGGTCAACTTAGAATTTTAGCAATAAGACCCGATATTTTCAATACACTCTAATACGGAAAATATCACAAATGGCGCGGTAAACGCCATCTGTAGTACGATGCAACATTTTAGGATTACGTATACTCCAACAAAGTCCATTTAATTATATAACCTC